GGTGGTCCCCAAAAAGTGGTTCGTCTCCGCCCACCTGTTGCACTACCCAGTGACAAATTATTTGCTGTGTCAGCAAAGTTATTTGCTGTTTTTTTTTAAATGTTCTAAATTTCACTGCTATCATTTTTGGACGAATGGTGATTAAAGTCATAGGCCTAGAACTGTCTTGCCATTTCTGTGCAATCGTAGGTCATCATCCCGTATGGAAACAATGGTGCTCTGAATGAGGTGCAGCGCAACCGCAATACTTTTTTTTCTATCAGCATGCCGGTCTAGTGTTGAAATAAGTTTTTCCTTTGTAAAAATGAGGTTCCCAAGGCTAAAATACGTCCGGTCGCTCACAATAGAATATACTTTTTATAATATAATTTCATGCTTTGTGCTTCACAATTTTTAGAGTGTGAAGAACCAACAATTTATGTGAGTTTCCACAGTAAATACTATCCATAACAAAACACAAAATTTTGTGCTTAGCAACATGGCTGTTGTGTTATTAACTTTTAAAATGTTAATTTACCAAAGGGACCAGCGCTACAAAATTAGGCAGAAAAGATGCGGCCTCCATTAAATTTGGACTATCAAGAAATGGCAAACTTCCCTAATGTCAATATTGATTGAACGAGACCATCCATTGTTGCAAGAAGCCCGCCTCAATTGCATAGCAAAAATACAATAAAATAGCAGCAAGATTGCTCCAAAGAAGATAGATTGACTTTGTTAAAAGCAAAAATGCAAAATGCAGACGAAAAATTTGGTCTGAAAATAATATGAACATAAAACAGGTTTCGAGATAAATGAAACATAGAAAATACCCGTAACATTTTACAATTCCTATTCAAAATTAGATGCAGAAGAAATAAAAAGAGATGAAATGACAAGTTTGTATCAAATTAATTTTGTGGAAAACAGCTATCCGTAAAAATAATGAGAACTGCAAGAGAAAGCAAATTCCTTCGATTTAAAGCTTCACCTATAAGAAATACAGAGATCAGACGAGGAAACAAAAGCTTAGTTGGCAGAAAAGGCTTTGGCATTAGCGAAAAATGCAAAAGATGGGCAATAAACCGGTGTCAGATGATAGAGAAGGAGTGCGACCCAGCAGCCAACTGGAAGGCAGATTTTGTGACAATCAAGCCCGAAGTTCAGTGTCTTGGCTAGAATATGGAAAATAGCGAAGTTCGAAATGACGTCTTCAAGTTATTGGAGACACCAACCAACTAAAGTTCTCAAAATAACGGGGATTAAGGTAAGGTTGCAGACCTGTGAAAATCGTCTAATGCACGGGTTAAGGAGATTACTTATTTACCAAAAACTACGAATCACAGAAAAACAGACGAAAGACACTCTAATTGAGGAAGAATTGGGTTTCAATTAAATATATGGTAGAGAACTGTAACTCCGCGGGAACACGACAGTCTTTTCGGCATAAACCTGACGGGTGCACTACTTGGTGGCGTGCACGATTCCGTCCGCACCTGCGACAGTAAACAAAATTGTCATTAACTAATAAAAGATACCTCCATGGCATGACGATGTTTTCAAATCCACTCAAATGTAATAGTTTTATTCTGCCTGTCTGTTATTTTGTTAGCCTGCGCACCTGGGATGCCGAGTCAAGGTGCCGCTCCACGCCGGCCGTTGTGGCGAGAAGGAGGGCCACCGTCTGAAGGAGGGCAGGCAGCCGCTTCACGAAGAGCACATGTGCAAACACGCTGGAGTACACACCGAGGCTGAGCGTGACCGGCACGCTCGCCTCGTGCATGGAGCGGGACACGGCCACATCACTTATGCCTACTAGGAGCGTTACCACGCTTGTCGTCATTGCAATCTTTAGAAAAACAGAGCGGGTAGTGAAAACGGTCAATTAGAATGGAAAGATTTCTGCGCCACTATATAGTGTGCATTTAGCGCAGAATCTGCGAAGAAGGGCACCCCTATTAAAAGGTTTTGTGCCAAAAGAAGCCCAAAAATCGTTCGAAACGATCGAGGTGTCTAAACACAACGTTTTTCCTTGCAGATTCGATATTTTACATGTACGAGTTATAAGAAACAGCAGTTTGTTCGATTTCGACGGATTAAAATCACCCTGCAGACGACCTCGGGCTGCAGCGTCTCCGGTGGGCTGACTTGCAGTTGGCTATTCTCTCGAAATACTCTACTCACCTCGACATAGTGGTAATATTACAAGAGTTCAGACCTTGTAAATTCGTAATGTCAATACGAGGTCGACGAAATATGAACCATAAGTTATTATAGTTGATGAAAACGGGATTCTCGGCCTAGCCTCGCTACCGGGTGCCTCCCACCACCTCGCGACTTTGATCATTCAAAACAAAAGATCAAAAGCCCAGATAATTAAAATTCACACGTCGTTAGAGGTTTTAGTGTTGCGGAGCTCGTCTCAAACCGTTTCGACGGTCTCGGGTGGGACTAAGCAAAAGTGAATTTACGAATTATTTACGCTACGAGGGGAGAGGCTCCCGGTAGATGGTCGCCAAAATACGAGGGGGTTTTCACTTGCGTAATACAGTGTACACCAAAACTAGGTATTACGCGTAATGTAATACCGAAGAATAGGAAAATATGCCCTAAAATGGTAGAATTTGGGTTGTAATGCTTGTGTAAAACTGGCGTAATACCGCGTAATACACGTAATATGTAATGCACTGTACACGAAAATTCCGAGTGAAAACCCCCTCGCCAAAATACCAACTTTTTGGTCCAACATTTGTCAAAGTCCGGTACACAAACGAACAAAACGCATTTCTAGACAGTCGCCAAAATACAAAAATTTTGGCCTCTTAGGTGCAACGGTAGCAGTCCGAAATTTTACAAGTGTGGGGCTCAAAATTTTGTATTTTAACGATCGTCTAGAAATGATCGGGCTTCAGAAAATCAAACAGAAAATTGTACGCAAAATGTGCACAAAATAGCGTCCTTATCTAGGGAAATACTATCCTCATACTGCGAATAAGCGTGCGCTTACCTTGGAGGTCCGTAGCCAGAAGAGGAGGCGCGCGCTGAACTTATCGCGGCCGGTGGGCGAGAGGGTCTTTAACCACCACCGCAGGTGGCTGGACAGGGGCCCCTCGTCTAGCGGCCAACTATCGACTCTGTGTAGAAATAAATCTGATTTTCTACGATACTCACTCTTAAAGGTATTTCTTGTATTTAAAGCCCTGGTCTTAGACGAGACCGAGTCTTGTAATACAATAAGCGTTTCATACCGTTAGCGGTAATCTCATGCGTATGGTTGTGACGGTAAAAATAATTACAAGACAACCTGTGTCCATTATCTGTGTTGGAGGTAACCCATTTTAAAGGATTGAATCAGTGTTGATTCGGATTTTACTCTGGAATCCCAAGTGTGTACTTGAATGCAGAATATTCTGCATACCTACATGTATGCAGGAAATTCTGTGTACTTGCCAAGTATGCGGGAGATAGTGACTTGGTCAAGTACACACTAAAACCTCCATACATTTATGCAGGAGCCTTGGCAGGGGCCTTAGTGTGTACTTGAGGTAGTACACACTATCTCCTGCATACTTGACCAAGTCCACACTATCTCTTGCATATTTGCCAAGTACACAGAATTTCCTGCATACATGTAGGTATGCAGAATATTCTGCATTCAAGTACACACTTGGGTTTCCAGAGTACTGGGATACTCAACTAAAAATATGGTGATTTTGTACAAAAAAATACCTTTAGTGGAACTTTGTGAGGGTAGTGTTCCATTCCACCCAGGCAATTCGTAATTTTATTCTGGTATTTCCTGCTTGGTCCTATTTGACAATTTGTGGCCCTCAATATCAATCGACCTCTTTTTAACTACACTTTTATGAGCTCTAAATACATACATATATCTTAAGATATATCAAACCAAATAAATTTATAAGCACTTATATGGCGGCTAGAGCGTCATGTAGGGCTATTACGATTGGTGTTCGTCACCTCCCCAATATCCACCTTGAGGGTTGGCCGGATTCCAGCATGTTCAATTTGAGGTCTTGCAGTTGTATGTAGACTGGCCTGCTGTTGGCACCATCCCCCCGTGGAAGCGCTCCTGCGTACGTTGCGACTCCCCCGCAATGAAATGTGTATGGCGTTGGCGAGCAGACTTCCGTGCCGTACCTGATCCCGTCCGCCACCATGCCGCGCCCCCGCGCCCCGTGCGTGCAGACCACCGCGTGCATTATTGCGCGCCCCCCCGGGCGCGGCGGGGCGTGGTGGGGCGTGGCGTTTACGCGCTGGGGCCGGTGCGTGCGGAGCGCCAGGCCAACAGCGCGACACTTGATGTGCTGAGTTGGCGGTGGACTGATTGGCGCTCAACGACCCGGTGAACGTCTTCTGTTGACAAATTCAAGCCAATTTTAGGGGCGTGTCCGGCTGACACGATATAATTGGAGTTGTGGCCAGAACCAAGTTCCGCGTGACGTCCTTCGCGATATCTCACGAAACAGTTCTTGTAATGCTTCAACATCGATATGGCGTATTGTCGATTTTGCGAAATGCATATTATTGAAATCAGTAGAAAATTCTCTTTTCCAATGAGAGGCATCTCACTAGATCGTGAAAAATACACTTATGACCATGGCTTTCCGAGAACCGACTTTGAGCGAATAAAACTATAAAGTACGACCTTTTAGTCTTAACGGGTCGAGCAGAGCAGGGTGGTCCTCCCTCTCAAGGTTGGTGGACAAAATGATAAAAACCTGGGTTCAAAACACTTGGCAGAGTATAGACATTAGACTAAGAAGTAGATAAACGCGCCTAGGGAGTGGTTCCGCGTGCAAAAAGTTTGCGGTGACGGCAAAAAGTTTGCTGTGACGGCAAAAAGTTTGCTGTGACATCAAAAAGTTTGCTGTGGCAGCAAAAGGGTTGGTGTCGCATCAATTAGTTTGTTGTCGCAGCAAAATGATCGTTATTGCAGAAACATTGTTGTTATACCACAGTAAATATTTTTGCTGCCAGAGCAAACAATTTTGTTGCCACAACAAATTATTTTCCTGTGTCGGCAAATAATTTTGCTGACATAGCAAATAAATTGCTGTCCGCAAATAATTTGCTGACAGCAAATAATTTTGTTGCCGTAGCAAATAATGTTGCTGGTGCAGCAAATAATTTTGCTGGTACAGCATATAATTTTGCGGGTACAGCAAATAATTTTGCTCACACAGCAAATCAT